CAGTATTGTGGGACAGAATGTTTTCGATTGGCAAGAACCGAAGAGCTAGCGGGGGATTGTATCACCCATTAAATTGGGTTGCGTTCTCAGAAGGTCACTCTATTTACTGCTCTCTTGATGATAATCGTACGTTTGTGGTGGTCTTTTGACAGATTTTAATTTCGACACTAATTTCTATACTTCTTCATTTTTTTACGCATTTCCTGAGCTTATAATAATAATTTCTACTTGTTAAAGTTCGTGTAGTGAATTTTATTCCGAATTCTTCAACTGATATTTGACCCGTTGTTTTTTTTCTCAGCTGATCAGTGTGGGTAGTTTATTTCGTTATAGAATTGCTTCGCCTTATCTGCAGTTGCTCTTACCTTGGGAGCGGATTATCCATCGTCGTTTTCTCGCTTAACCTTCTTGTCGTCTCATTTTGCTGAACTTTTTTCAGTCTGCACATATTATCTGTTTTATAACAGGTATACAATTTGTTTCGAATAATCAGGGGCCTGGGCAGAGAACAGGAAGCACGATAAATATCATGCGCACAATGGATCATAGAAAAATTATTATACCCTGCACAATGCTCATTTAAATTTCATTCCTGATGCCTTTATATAAATTTCTGCAACCCCCAAGTAGGCCGCTCAATGTACGCCGCAGTGTCAACCTTTTCAACACCACAGATTCACAACTGGAATTCCAGAGTTTCGTGGTGGATAGTGGTCACATAGAAGTAAAACGCCAAAAACTTCTCAATCTGGAGAATATAAGTTGGCCAGAAAGGAAACTTTTACCCGTTCCACTCGGTGCACCAGGAAGTCGTCAATTGCCCCTGGAAGCCACCTTCAGTCGCGGTCAGATGCGGATATTGTGGGAACTCTTCAGTGCGTTCAGTAGTGTGATGGAAGAGCTCGGTCTGAGTGACAGGTGAATGCTCTACGGTGGCACCCTGTTCGGCTCATTTCGGCACCACGACATTATCCCCTGGGGTGATGACATTGATGTTCTTGTGGACGTGGAGGTTAGAAAAGCGCTAAGAGAAAAGATGCGTAAGCTGAAACCTGATATCCTAATTTATGAGGAGGAAATAAGGGACAAGATTTATGCAAAGTTAATTGAACCGAGTGATACATCTCAGGACAAGTATGGCAGTCGCAAACTGAGTGGCAAGAGCTGGGGCTGGCCCTTCCTGGACGTAAGTTACAACTTTTCAAGTGAGACGCATATACAGGAAATAACATGGACCTATAATCGATTTTATAGGTATGTAAAATCTGATGTGTTTCCACTGCTGCTCAGACCATTCAACAAGTACTGGGTTCCTACGCCAAAAACACACTTGCTGTTCTGCAACAGACTTACGGACGTGATTATCTTTGTTCCGGTCTTGCCTGGTCTCACGCCTTTGAGACACCAATATTTACTCGGACAGTATGGTGCAAAAACCTAGCGGATAGATATGCCTTCGTTGAACACGCCCCACTCTACCACAGTGCTCAAGATAAGGATGGTAGTCAGGATGATTTGGATTGGTCGCGTGAGCTGCTGGTTCGAGGCGGAAAGGTCATTCACGAAGTTCACCTGGTTGCACCTCGGCTGCAATCCACTGTGGCGAAGTCTGATACGCAATAACATTTAAACCTTTTAGGATGGTCGTCATAGTGCACTTTTAGCATCTGCTGCAGCGTGCAGTGATTTGGT